TCTGAGGATAGAACAAGAAGCAATGGGCTTACGCTGCAGCAAGAGAGGTTTAGGTTGGACAAACTCTAGAATAAATTGCCCAGGGAGGTTGTGGATCTCCATCTGTGGAGATATTTAAGAGTAGGTTAGATAAATGTCTATCGGGGATGGTCTAGACAGTATTTGGTCCTGACATAAGGACAGGGGACTCGACTCGATGACCTCTCGAGGTCCCTTCCAGTCTTTGTACTCTATGATCCTATGAAAAAATGTCCAGTGAAATTTCATTTCAACAAACACTGTGGGAAATAAATTCCCCCAAACATCTTCCAACTCTTTATTACTTCAACACCTGCATGCATCTTCCGTCTTTATTTCCAACTTTCTTTCTCTTTCCTGCATCATGAATGTTCTCCTAGACCAGGGGTGGACAATAATTTTTTTATCAGAGGCCACTTCAGAAATTGGAAAGTGGCAGGCCAGGACACGTCCGTGCTTTCCTGCCCACAGATCCTGATTGGTTTGGGGGAGTCTTTGTCCTTCCCCCAGAACAGCCAGATGTTCAGAACAGCTGGCAGTTCCTTCTAGGTGCCTGTGCCCCCTTGCGGTGGGCGGAGACTTTGTGCGCTCCCCCTATGCCTGAAAGTGGAGGGAGCACACACAGCCTGTCCCTGCCCCGCAAGGGAGCGCTGCACTTAGTCACCCGCCAGCTGAGCAATAGCAGTTGACTTGAAGGGCCAAGCCCCTTGCAGGGCGGGAGGAGACTTTGCACGCTTCCCCCTGCCCCCAGGCTCTGATTTGCCTGGGGACAGGGGGAGCACAAAGTCTCTTAAAACCTGCTCTCTGGTGCATGGCACTTAGTCAGCCCTGCAGGTTGATGCTAAGCCAGGGGTGGGCAATAATTTTTGCCCGGGGGCCACTTCAAGCATTTTTAAAGTAGCCCTGGGACACTCCAGAAGGGACAGGGCTAGCCCACCCCCAGACCATGATTACTCTGTGAGGTGGGGGTAGGGTTACGGTTGCTAGATGGTTTAACAAAAAATACCGAACCCCCTCTTTCTCTCCCCCCCCAAAAATCACTGGGAAAAAATTCTGTTGGGGGTGGGGGGAGGAGTAAGGGCCCTGCACCTTTAAATGGCCCCGCGCTCCTCACTTTCCTGGGTTTTCGTCCAAGGAAAGCAGGAAATACCGGACATTTTCACACGTCTGGTATTTTCTTTCTTTTTTTTTTTTTTTTTTTTTTTTTGGTTGTTTGTTTTTTTAACTGGACAGGGAACCCCAATAACAGACAGTCTGGGCAAAAACCGGACCCCTAGCAACTCTAGGTGGGGGAGCCCCTTTGTCCCCCCTTCTCACTAGGCACCCATGCCCTGAAAGAGGCTTGGCATGCTCTCCTACCCCCAGGCCAATCCGGGTGTGGGGGGAGCGCAGGAAGCTGCCTCCTGCTGTGCAAGGTGCACATGGCACTTTGAAGTGCCACAGGTTCCTCGCAGGGCAGGGAGAAGGAAGCATCACGCAGCTCCCCCCACCTCCATGCCCTGATTGGCCTAGGGGCAGGGGAGCATGCAAAGCCTCCACTGCTCTCCCCCGTGCCCTGTGAGCAGTGCACGGCACTTCAAAGTGCCATATGCTCCTGGCAGGGCAGGAAGAGGCTTTGCATGCAGCTACTTCCTCATCCCCAGGCCAATTAGGGTGCAGGGTGAAGGAAGTTTTGCATGCTCCCCTGCAGGTCATTTAAGGCCTGGGGGCAGGGGAGCATGCAAAACTTCCTTCACCCTGCACCCTAATTGGCATGGGGATGGGGGAGGGGCTGCATGCTTCCTCTCCCCCCCCCCCCCCGCCCATAGCGGCAGGACCTCGGCAAGCGGGATCAGCTGGCTTGGTGGCTGGATCCAGCCTGTGGAGGCTCCTAGATTGTGGGGCCTTTCTCTCTCTTCCTCTCTCCCCATTGAGTATAGTGCTGACAATCATGCCTGAAAAGCCTCCTTCCACTCAAGTCACAATTGCTTTTAAGTACCCTTACAAGAACTAAACAATACTTCCCCCATCACTGGGAAAATCCAACTGCTGGCATCAGAGGATTAACACATGCACTATGAGTATCAATTCATACATTGGAATAAATAATATGAAATATACTTTCAAAGTTTAAAAAAATGGTTGGAGGAGGAGAAATGAAACTGCACAGGAGTTATCAGTCCATGATTTCAAACATCAACTTGGGATAAAGTGAAAACAGTTGCACACAGCAAAATGGAACTTTGTAAAGGTTTCTGCCACTCTGTTCAAATGGTCTCTCCACATAAAGCAGTGATGAGTTTTTGCTCAGTGTTTTTTTTTATTCTTTCCACATTGGAAAGGGCAATTCACTATTTCCTTGTAGCAGTCACAACCAGCGATTGGGGATGTATCTGATAATTTGAAATTCCCATTCTCCTCTGCCCCTGCTGGTTGCACTCCCATTTCCCCTCAGAACCCCATAAGGTGTCTCATTCAACAAGACTCCATCCCAGCAAAGCAGTCAAGCCACATATTTTACTTTGAATGTGTGAGTAGTTCCATTGACTCAAGTGCTTAACGTTAAGCAGGTGCGCAAGTGCTTTGCTGAACTGTGCACTAAACTAGCAAGTGAAATCTGTGTAACTGTTCTCACCCACAATTATTTCCAATTTGGGGACAACTTATACCTCCAGATCAGCAGCACAGCCATGGGTACCTGCATGGCCCCACAGTACGCTAACATCTTTATGGCTGACTTAGAACGTTTCCTCAGATCCAGTCCCCTTTCACTCCTCCTCTACTTATGCTACATCGATGACATCTTTATGATCTGTACCCATGGCCAAGAAACACCGGATGCATTCCACAGAGACTTTAACAACCTACACCCCACCATCAATCTCAGCCTGGACCATTCTACATGAGAGATCCATTTCCTGGACACCACAGTACAAATCACCAATGGTAAATTAGATACCACTCTCTACAGAAAACCCACTGACTCATACAGTTACCTACATGCCTCCAGCTCCCATCCAGAACACACCATATGATCCATCCTCTATAGCCAAGCCCTTTGATACAACCGCATCTTTCAGGATCTCTACCAAGCCTTTGTAAACCTCAATTACCCACCCAGGGAAATAAACAAATTGAAGGAGCCAGACGAATACCCAGAAACCATCTACTTCAAGACAGACCCAAGAAAACAACAATAGAACATCACTTATCTATAGCCCCCAACTTAAACCCGTTCAAAGCATTATCAATAACCTACCACCTATACTGGAACAGGATACTACACTCCGAGAGGCTCTGGGAGACAGACCCATAGTCTCCTATAAACAACCACCTAACCTCATGATGTTTCTTACCAACAACCACAGGACATACACTAATACCAACCTTGGTACTTTCCCTTGCAACAATCCACGTTGCCAGCTTTGTCCACATATTTACTCTGCTGACACCATCATTGGACCTAATCACGTCAGTTACAAGATCAAGAACACATATTCCTGTTCATCCAGAAATATAATTTATGCCATCATGTGCCAACAGTGTCCGTCTGCTATGTATATTGGACAAACTTCTCAGACACTTCTCCAAAGAATTGATGCCCACAAATCAGACTGTTTCCCAAAGAAAAAACAGTTTCCTGTCATTTCAGCCAGACTGGGCATTGTTTCAACAACCTCACTACATGTATCTTACTTCAAAGAGACTTTAACACCAGACTACAAAGGGAAACCTCAGAACTGTCATTCATGCTTAAATTTGACACTTTACAAATGGGCCTTAAAGATGCTTACCCATTACTAAGATAGCTTCCCCAATTATCACCCCTAATATCATTATCTCATAGACACTAACTTCCCCCCCAAACCCTCCCTCTGTTCTAAAATCTGATTTGTCAATTTTGTGTGTGTTCACTTTTTTTTTTGGTTGTATCCCTTTGGTGTATATGGTCATGCCAATTTTCTTCCACAATTTGATCTGAGGAAGTGGGTCTGGCCCATGTAAGTTCATCACCTAATAAACCATCTTGTTAGTCTTTAAAGTGCTGCATAGTCCTGTCTTTTGTTTCAGTATATAATGAGAGAGCTGATGAACAACAAAAGATCAGCCAGTTACCAGTAGAAATTGTGCCCTATAGAATGAAATATACACACAGGGCCTGATGTACACTTGCCTGCATCCTTTTCTGGAATATCAATATACCAGTCTTTGGTCATATTCACAGGTCAGTTTCTGCTACTATAGATCCAGCAGTGGAAAGCTGCAGAGGGGGATGGGCAGGAAATCACTGATGTCCCCAAAATTAGAAGGGATAGCTAGAGGCTATGCCAATTTGGTACATCTCCTGAACAGCTGCCCCTTGGAGGGCTGCTCTGGGTTCCTGATTACAAATCTGCTTGCCCCAGTGGAAACAACCTCCAGAAGGAACCTCCCAAGGGAGCCTGGCCATGGTAACACTGTCATCTCTCCTTCAAATGTTCTCCTTGTAAGTTCCCAGGGGGCTGCAGGAATGTGTTTTACGTCTCCCTGCCCCAGCTTCAGCAAATCTCTCTTTTGGACTCTAAAACTGTTGCTGCCACCGCAAAGGACATCCTCGAGCTTTCTTGATCACCACAACTGCTCTCTTTTTTTTTTTTTTAAATAGTGCAAAGGCAGAGTAGGGGAAAAGCTAGTTTTCAGTGCTGAGCCTACATTCTGTTACTCAGCTGGACAGCAACCTAGTGATCCTGTTCAAAGGAGTAGTAGCAGATGTTCTGATCCATGCTCTTGGACTGGTTTGGCTAATGAGAGAGGGAGACTCACAGAACATGAGTCAATGTAAAATCTATAATCTTGCTCATTATGATGGAGATTGGGCTTTGTTACAGCCCATCGCAGATATGTAAACATATCTGCACAGTGAAAAGCTTTGATCCCTATTATTAAAGGAAAAATACAGCCCTGTTCTGTCTGCAAGGAACATCTTTCAGCTGCACAAAACACAGCTCACGCACATGACTCACCACAATCATTTGAGCCACGTAACTTTCAGGACCAGTGTATTCGGTTGGGTCTTTCACTTTGACTAGGACGATAAAGTACAAATAATGCCACATGTTGTGTTCTGACTTTATATGCTCCTCAAATGAAACAGTCTTATTATCAAACTTGTCCCGCTCCAGTCCTGCAAAAAACACAAAAGCACTCAATCAACTTTTATCCGCACTGTCAGTGTAACAATAAACTCTGAAAAAATCAGCAACGGAAAAGTGTCAAGATGTTAATTTAAAAGCTATAATTACAGACTGACTGTTTTGCTAGACCTCCAGCTACAAAAGCATTTCTGGCAAAATTCTTTCAGACCCATATTTATTCTTTTGTGATATTCCCTCTTAACAACACCATCATCATCAAATATCTTACGCCTTTATAGTGCCTTACAAGCTGATCCTGCAAAAAATAGGCTGTAGATATGAGCTGTGTAAGTAAACATATAGTATTGATACATCAGCCCTATTCTTGCAAAGATTTAGGAACGTGCTTAGTTTTAAGTATGTGAATAACCCCACTGAAGCTTTAATGGGACCAGTTGTGTGCTTAAAGTTTAAATGCACGCAGGATTGAAATTCAAGTCATGAGCAAAACTGTTTATTATAACCACCTGTGCAACAGATTAGAAACTGTGCCTTAAAGTGTCATGGCCAGGCAGGACAGGGATGCATGAAATTATTTCATTTGTTGTTACGCCTTCCCCAGTCTGCTCTCCTATGGACCCTAACACAGATTAAAGCTTCCCTCCCTCGTGTGAAATCTTCCAGTGGCTATAGGGCCCCTTTGGGGAGGAGTGATTTGCCTCTCTCTGCACCAGCATGGACAAATCATAGGCAATGAAGTTTTATGTAAAGACACTTATTCAATTTATCTGCTCCTGTGTGTCTTCAGAGTTGCATCTCCTTATCAGGTGGGCAGGCTGTGCTACATTTAGCATTGTGGAGTCTATACTGCGATGGAAAAGTGCGCTGCATTTTTACCTGCTTCAATATTCAACAAAATCAACAGCTGTGCTCCCACTGCAGAGTCTTCATTAGTGGTGACAGTGAAAACAATGGGACGAATACAGCTTGAGTCTCGGACCCCAGGTGGAACTCAGCAGTAGCACAGTTAGAAGAGCCCATCTGAGTGGGCCCTGACTTTGGGTAGGTGGGCAATGCTGGGGGAGCATAGTTAAGCCTCGGCAGGTTGGCGGGAGAGGCCCTGGATGTGACGTGTGTAGGCCATAGCTCACTCAGGCCCATCTGTGGCCACGCCCCTGGAACTCAGAGTCTGTTGTTAGAAAAGTCATCTTTTTTGACTTGTGAACTGATTGTAAAAACGCCAGCATGGGATTCTATATTTATTCCTGACTGGCAGCAAACACAGAGTTACTTTCCAATTGATGACTGCCCTTTAGAGACACTCTTATTTATGGAGCAGCATTTTGTTTTATTGCTTCTCTACCCTCCCTTCCTTCCTCCTCTTCCCCCCCCCCCCCTGACTGGCAGCAAACACAGAGTTACTTTCCAATTGATGACTGCCCTTTAGAGACACTCTTATTTATGGAGCAGCATTTTGTTTTATTGCTTCTCTACCCTCCCTTCCTTCCTCCTCTTCCCCCCA